TATATATATATATATATATAATTAGTGTAGATAAAAGTAATTTTTAGTGAAAAATATTGTATCATTATAAAATGTGTATGTTACTATATGATAATTTTTTAGTGTATTTAAAGACTAAAAAAATCTATTTTAAATTATAAAAACTAAAAAAGATTAAAAAAAATTATTTTGAAATTATAAAAATTTAAAAATAAAATAAGTGCAACTATAAAAACTAAAAAAATATTTTTAACTTTTTTAGTTTTTCTTCTTATAATTGAAAGCAAAAGTATTTCTATGATTTTTTTTTTCTATGAACAAATAAGAAAAGTTTATTTAATAAGGATTCAAGAGGTTTCCATTCCACACATATGAATCATCTAAACTTTCAATTAGTCCATATACTTCATTCAACTAGTGGAAAAAAGGCTTTTAAAATCGATTAGGAAAAAAATTATTCAATGAGGTCCATAATTATCCATTTTTTCCCCTTTCCCTGTTGATTGAGTATTCAGGAATTGGATTAAATGGATTTGAAGGAAAACATAGTATTCTCATCCAATTCCATCATTTTCTTGTTTTACTATCATTTTGCTAATTCAATCCGATCTAGAGAAATTTTGATAAGATTTTTTCTGATATTTATTTTTATTCATATTTTTTATTTGATTTTTATGGTTTACATCGAATTGAAACGTAATATAAAGAATTTATTTGTTGAACTAAACACTATAAAATAATGGGTTTGCATAGTAATTAAACATTATACACTGTTATGTGAATGATTTATTTAATAAAAAAATTCCATATTCAAACCCCAACATATACGAAAACTTTTCACATCAACCAGTCAAGTACCACTAGTTGAAGTAGTCTGTAACTTTATTATACCAGTGATACCTTGTCACAACCAAAATAAAACACCATAGAATGCATATGGAATGTAATGCCTTCAATTCATTTTTTGAGGAACCTAATTGTTTATCTGTTTATATGAACTTTGCTAATTCCTTGATTGTGAACAGGTATTGCCAGAGGATGCGGTTGGCAGAAACTTGGTGCAATTGTCAATCTAGGATCTTTTTATTTTATAGGCGTTCCTTTTTCTGTTGTGACAGGTTTTGTCCTCCACATGAAAGGACGGGTAATATAACCATTTTATCATTCAGAAAACATCTTAGGGTGAATATTAACGAGACTTCTCCTATCAGGATTAGAGTTTTTCATTGCTAATTATTCAGTTTATGCAACATAGTAAACAACACTTAAAATACCTGTCTAAGTGTTGTTCACATTAAAATCCTTCAGAGTTTGATTTTTAGCCAAGAATAATAACATCCTGCATCATAGATAACATGCATGTTCAACTGAAGTTGGTGATTATCTTGATTCTTCATAATTTCAGGGGCTATTTTTAGGGATAGTACTGGCAATTATCATTCAAATGTTGTGTTTTCTTGTGATCACCCTACGTGCCAATTGGGAGGAAGAAGTAAATTGTTCAATCTTGAACTCAGTTTTGTTATCATTTATCAGGTATGGATATTAACAGAAGTGTGTTCATTGTTCAGGCAAATAAGGCAACAAAAAGGGTAGGAGGCAGTGGAGTCCAACTTCAAGAACTTTCGGTTGACCAAAATGTTAATTCTGCTCGATAGATAGTTGAAGAACCATTTCTAGATTTGTGTAGAACTAGAGTGACTTACCTTGAAATAAATGCATACCAATGTACTTATAGCACATCCATGAGTAATTATTCCTTAGCGTACACTCCTTTAGTTACTTTTTAAATTTAAATGTCTGTTTTTTAGTAAAATTATTTATTTATTTATTATTTACAAAACTCATGACAATATTAATTAGAATAAAGTATAAGTACAACAAAAATTGTAATTTGTACAACATCATTTTTATGTTTTTCTTTTATCATTTTATTTATTATGAAGAGAGATATTATTAATGATAGAAAGAGATAAGAACAAAATTAATGTTATATAAGTTGTTGTGTATTTTTTGTTTTATATATAAGACTTAATTGCTTAATTCACTAAAATAACAAAAAATTGTTAATTTAGTTGATAATAATAAGTTTATCTTTTATATATATATATATATATATATATATATTTAACCAATTAAATTGTTGTCTTATATGATTTTTCAGTTAATTACCAATTAGAATGTATAATTTTTTAAGATCACATAAAACAATAATAAGAGGCGTAATTTATTTGATTAGATATATTACATTTTAATGATTTTAACATATATATTTAACTTTTCATATGTATGATGATGATAATTATTATTTTTTTTTAAATTGTTCCCACTCACTCACATCTGGATTCACCATTGTTTACGGTATTAGCACAACCAAAATCATCCATTAACTTCCACAACAAAATAGTCACTCGGGATAGAACTCAAATATCTGATAACTTGATATTTGATTTTTTTTTTAAGTGACGGATACACTTCATTCATCTATAACAACATGTAGCTTTTATAGAAAATAGTTCTATTTCAGTCAAGAGCATAAGAGAGATACATCTTATTAATGAAAAAAAAAAAGTAAGTTCATAATTATTGTATGAAAATCAATAGATTTGCTTTACCCAAAATGGGAATGTGCTATGATTAGGAACTCATAATCTAAAATTCAATAATCCAATTGATTCAATCATATAAGTTTATTTCATTTCAAATCCAACCAAAATTTTGTTATATATATTCTCTCATTACTGTATATATGGGATCATTCTAGCCTATCTAAATAAATACGATATTTACATATTAAAATTTTTACGTCGTTCCATTCAATATAAAATTTAAGAGTAGGCGTATTCAGACTTATTTTAAAATTTTGTTGACTTTTAAATTATCTATTATCGCTCATTATTTTTTCTCTAAAATATATTCTTCATTTAGTTACCGATCGTTTACTTTATTGCCAGAGGCATAAGTCAAAGGAACTTGCATTCTAACTTCTTTGACTTCCACTTTCTGTGGAATTGTACTCCCACTAACTTCACCATTTTCAATGAACCTTGCATTTCCAGTTTCAACAATTCTCATATTATGATTAGGACAATAAAACATATACCCCTTTGATTTTTCTGGATAACCAATGAAATATCCACTGATTGTTCTTGCATCCAATTTCTTTTCTTGTGGATTATAAATCCTTATTTCTGCCTGACAACCCCAAACATGTAGGTGCCTTAAACTAGGTGTCCTACCAATCCACAGTTCAAAAGGTGTCTTTGAAACTGCCTTACTAGGAACCCTATTTAACTAATACATGACAGTTTTCAAGGCATACATCCACAAATATATGGGTGAAGTTGAATTACTTAACATACTCCTAACCAGATCCATTAATGTTCTATTACGCCTTTCTGATACACCATTTTGTTGTGGTGTACCTGACATTGTATATTGAGCACAAATGCTAATACGCGAGAGTGCTCGGCTTGAGCGTGTTCGGCCTAAGCGTGGTCGGCCCCAAAATGTTGGGTCACGCGATTTGATGTGCGAAGTGTGTTGGAGCACGCGAGAGTGCTCGACTTGAGAGTGTTCGGTCGAAACGTGCTCGGCCTCAGAGACGGATCATGCGATTTGATACGTGATTTATTTGATCTGCGAGAGTGCTCGGCCTGAGCGTGTTCGGCCGAAGCGTGCTCAGCCTCGGAGTCAGATCATGCAATTTGATATGCGATATATTTTATCCGCGAGAGTGCTCGGCTTGGGTACATCCTTAGCCGAGGAGGGTACTCGGGAGGGAAACCTGTCGAGCTTGAATGTACGTTTTGAGTGATCGGCCGAGGATTGTTCGGCGTCGGCGCATGTTCGTGCGTAGTGCTCGGCCTAGGTACATCCTTAGATGAGGAGGGTGCTCGGGAGGGAAACCTGTCGCGATTTTGTATGTTACATACGAAATCGGTTCCCATATAACCAATCTTAAAAGTAATAAAAAAAACATGATTTAAAATCAGTTAAATTATGACTGATTTTAAAAATAATTTTAAAAATCGGTTATATTTGAACCGATCTTAAAAGTTGTGCCAAACATACCTTTTAAGATCGGTCATATAATAACCGATTTTAAAAGTACTTTTAAAATCGATTAAATTTTAACCGATTTTAAAAATGTTCATATTATTTACAAAATTGCCACCGCATCACTTTTAAGATCAGTTATAAGGTAACTGATCTTAAAGCTCCGATTTTAAATCTCATTTTTGCACTAGTTACATGTTACCTATCTTAGCTTTAGTTTCTCATGCATACATGTCAATTAAATTAGTCATATGACTCACACAAACATTCACTTATAGGCTTTTTAGGCACAATATATAATGGATTGTCCACTCTTAATTATAAAAGGAATGCCAGAATCCTTTCGTTCTATTAAACAATTAAGACTACCTTTTAGATTTAATCATTTTTAATAGTGTTAAATTTTATCTTAATATCAATTGACGTGAAATGAAATTACCTAATAGATATATACGTTGCCCTTAGAGAATTGGAACAAATAATTTTGAGACTTTCCTACACCCCTTTTACATATGTTTATTAGACCAGATGATACCTATCATAATAAACAAATTACGAAGATAGACTATAAATTTTAATATCATGTTAGAGTCTATTTTAATACTAATTGATATTAAATAAAATTATTTAACAGATATATAAATTTCATAAAAAAAAATTAAAAAAGAAAATGAGATAGTTGATGCGAGACCTTTCAAAAAACACATGTTGAATATAAGACTCCTCATTTTTGAAATTGATACGATTCTTGTGGATCCAAAATAAAAAGAAAAAAAAGACCATAATGATGCAAACCAAATAAATCACCATGTAATCATGAAACCCATCTCTGTACCGAAGAAAACGATATCCTTAACATTCATAGACATTGCCACTTAGATCCCAATCCATCTACAACAATAATTAACATCAAATCAAGTAAGAGAATTTGCATGTAAGTACTAATTAAGTGAGTAGCAGTCAAGTGTTTATTCTATTAATTTGTTTTCAGACAATTTTAGAATGGTGTACCTAATTTTGGTTAATGTGCTGATCATATGTTTCTCGGTCCAATGTGACAAATTTGAGTTGTTCAATGTAACATAACAATATTATCTTTGGTTTAAATATATTGCGGTTGTTTTAACGTAATGATTAAATGTAACATATAACCATACAGCAAATATAAATATATATATATATATATAT